ATTAAGCACCTGCTGTGTACCAGCACAGGCTGATCAAACGCTCAGCAGGGCTCTAACAGGACATTCTAGGCCCCAAAGCTCATCACTAAGGCAGCAGTGGGTGCTGGATCAATGTAATGTCAGGGATGCTGAGGCAGCATTCAGGGGCCCTTGGGCCTGGGCCTGGTGGGGCCAGGTCAGCACTGCTGTGGCCAGTTTTGACTCCCTGAGGGGGCATCGTCCCCCCTGTTGCCCTTTTGGCCATCAACAAGAGTCCCAGAGTAGCCCAGGTCTGGGGCTTGGCCAGTTCGGGGAAGTGAGGAGGGGAGGGAATAAACGTTTAGATAGTAATTACTGTGTGCCGGGCACTGTGCCAAGTACTCTACAGATATTGGATCCTCACCACCACCCTGGGAGGGAGATACCATTATCATCCCCATTTTATAGATGAGGAGATTGAAGCAGACAGTGGTTAAGTGACTTGCCCAGGGCCAATAAGTGTCGGAGGCTGGATTGGAACTCGGGTCTTCCTGACTCCAGCCCCAATGCTGCGTGCCCTGTGGTACTTCCTAGACGCCATCCTGGAGAAGCAGGTAGCGTTTTGTCTTTTCATCTCTGGCCCCAGTGCCTAAGACCGTCATTGCATGACCCCTACGAGGGGACTGTCTTTTGATTGCTGGCCTGATTTGCTCTTTCGTCCCTTCGTTTCCACTTTTGTTGGGCTCCACTCCCCTTGACTAGCTTCCCTCTCCACCTTCCCCACCGCCCTTGTGTGGTAGGTACTACCTTGTGACCCTGGACCCCTGAGTTGCTCATCTGAAGCGCTCTGTGACAGGGGTGCCAGAGGATGCATCTGAGAGAGGAGTCCCAGGGGACTCACCATGTCCTGGCCTCACTGGGGAGGGCAATCCTGTTCTAGGCAGACAGACAGAGTGTTCCCTGGCCCAAGGGAAGTGGGGCCGGGGGAGTGCAGCCTTCACTTGATGTCCGGGCAGGACAATGGGCCTGGCTTCATTCATGCCCAGTGCAGGCTCTGGGGCTTGGCCTCTCGTGTCCCAGTCGCTTGATACCTGAAACCTGCCTGTGGTTGGGGGCTGTAGCTGTCTCACTGAACGGCATTTGCTTAGAAGGCGATAGAGAAGCAAGGGTGAGATCAACCTGTGTGCTCCTGTGCATGCAGGTCAAGGACAGAGGCATGTGAAGCATCCCTCCTGCCATTTGTACCAATCACAGCCTACCTTGGGGAGGTGGGGAGGGCAGTGAGCAGGTGGGAATTGAGGTGAGGGTCACTACAGAGTTCTCCCTCTCCGGTTCAGCAGCAGTGAGGCAATTGGGGTTAAGTGACTTGCCCAGAGTCACACAGTGAGCGAGTTTTATGTTTCTGAGGCTGGATTTGAACTCAGATTCTCCTGCCTCCAGAGCCAGTGCTCTATCCAAAATATTTGTTTTCAAGAGAGCACTATCACAGTGCATAAACATCCGTGCTTAAAATGGAAGCCTCACCTCCTAGAGGACCACAGCATCGAGCAGAAGTCTTGGGACGTGCTACTGGAAAGGTGGCATCCAGTTCCTCTTCCTTCTACCTCCCAGGACTCCCTCTGCCCCTTGCATGGACTAGCCCTCCCTCTAGAAGTAGCCGCTCAGCCAAAGTGCCTTGTGGCACTTTTCCCGGTCTTCAGCGCTAAACCTTGGGCCATATCTTCTCCTTTTTAAACGTTTGCTCATTTCTCCACGTGAGCTGACTTCTCCCTCCACCACCTGTGTCCGTGAATGAAGCCTTCCTGTAAACGTCCTCTTTCTCTGGATTTTGCCATCATGCTCCCTCCGCCCCCTTTAGGATGTAAGCAACCTTGAGGGCAGGAGTTGGCCTTTTTATATTTCTGTAATATATAATAGTGCTTAGCACAGTGTCTGGCCCATAATCAGTGCTGTGTTAAGTGCTTGTTAACTGACTGACTGAAAAAAATTACTCCTCTTCCTCCAGTTCATGCAGGGGTACTGAACCTGCAGTCCACAGACTGATTCTTTTAATATTTTGATAATTATGTTTCAGTATTAGTGGCTCAGTAGATACAGTGCCAGACCTGGAGTCAGAGGACCTGAGTTCAAATCTGGCCTCAGAAGTTTACTAGCTGTGTGACCCTGTCACTTAACCCTGTTTGCCTGTTTCCTCATCTATCAGATGATTTGGAGAAAGAAATGGCAGACCCCTCCAGTACCTCTGACCCAAATGGGGCCATGAAAAGTTGGCCATGACCAAACAGACAACTGAACATCGTTCAGTTGGGTTGATTTCCTTTGTGATCCCACCCACTTTATGCACCCTTGAAAACCTGCTCTAGGGAGGATTCCAGAGAGGACTGCAGAGCTTCTTAACCAGGCCGCCAAAGGGGGCGTGGCCTGAGGAGGGCCAAGAACTCTTGCTCCAGTGGCGCCTTAGTGGAAGGCACTGGGGAGGGGAACAGATCATTATTAAGTGCCTACTGTGTGCCAGGCGCTGGGTGAAGCGCTTCACCAAGATTTTCTCATTTGATATTTTGAACAGATAATCCCCCTAAAAGTTTGGTAAAAAGTTTTCAGATATGTTCAGAGTAAATAAAACGTAACTCTTAAAGTTGACCAGATGTTCAAAGGATCAGAAAAGTGACTTAGAGTAATCATAGGCTTTTGATTGGGGTGAGACTGACCCTGTCATGTTGTAGATAGTGACAGCAGTGATCGCTACTTGGCGCCCAAAGGGACCCGAGGCCGATTCTCAGCAAGCCAGCCGTGTCATCCGTTTTACGCACCAGGGAACTAAGGCCCACGTCCAATCAATAAGCATCTGGTAGGCCTCGATATAGGGTAGGCACCATGCTAAGTAGGAGGACTGCAACACTCACCACCCCCTCTGGGAGCATACAGTCTAATCAAAGAGATTACCTGCAAACAGGTTTATATACAAATGAGTCATGGACCACAGAGGGGACATGATCCCGGGCAGGGGAAGGAAGCATGGCCATTAAGGGAATCAGGAGAGGGAAAGCGAGATTTCAGCTGAACCTCCAAAGAAAGCTGAGAAGCCAGAAGGTAGGGTGTTCTGGGCATGGAGGACAGCCAGGGAAAGTGCCCAGGCTTGGCATCTTGTGGGAGGAGCATTGAGGAGGTTGGCGTCGCTGGATCCGAGAGTGCTTGGAGCTTGGATCCTGGAGGTAATAGGGCCCTGGTGGATTGACTGACTAGGGTTTGGGATGTGGCCTGAGCTGCGCTTGGAGACCCCTTTGGTGGGCCAGGCTGTTGCCATGATCCAGGTGGGAGAGGATAAGGGCCTGCCCCTGGAGCATGGTGGGTCAGGGGGACCGAGGGGTGAAGCCAGGGGTGTGCCAAAGACCAAAATTACAAGACTAAAGATTGACTGGATGATGGGGCTGAAGAGAGAGTGAGGAGTAGAGGATGCCCACTGGGCAGTGGCCCTCGGGCCTGTGGTGCCGCTGTTGCTTTTGACAGTGATAGGGAAATGAGGAAGAGGAGAAAATTCGGGGCAGAGACAGTAGTCCTGCTTTGGGCTTGTTGAATTTAAGTTGAATATGGAGGAAATGTGAGCCTGAAAGTCAGAGAGGGATGAGCACTCAGGACAGAACCTTGGTGGGGCACCTGGGTAAAAAGCCAGCCTCAGAGCCTGAGGACTGGCCAACTTGGTCAAGAGATAGTCCAGAAGAGAGGGGATCTGAGAGGCGGAGGAGGACAGGAAAGGCCCTTGGATTTGGCGATTCCGCAATCCCAGGGCGGCTTCTGTGGAATCGGACGGTAGAAGCCTGATTGGAAGGGGTTAAGAAGAAAGGAGAGGAGGGGAAGTGGAGGCACAGATTAGAGACCGTTTTCTCACAGTTTAGCCCCAAGAAGGAGGGAAGAGAGAACTGTAGCCAGCAGAGATCAGCAGCTCACGGGAGGGGTTTTTCAAATGGGAGAGACAGGCATGTTTGTGGACATAGTTACTGAACATTTATTAAGCACCTCCTATATGCGAGGCACTGAGGCTCCAACAACAAAGAAAGATGCAGAAGACAATCCCTGCCCTCAAGGAGCTTGCAGTCTAATCAGGGAAGACCCCCCCCCCCACACACAAAAGGATGCTGAAAAGGAGTCCCAAGGAGTACATTAGCGGGAAGTGGAGAAGTGGCTGGCAGAGAGGAGCAGCTCTGCTGTGCCCTCCAGCCAGAAGGGGCCCCGGGGCAGTGAGGGCAGATGAATGAGGGGCAATGCTGTGGGGGAGGGGATGGCTGGCCTTTGTCGGCATGACGCGAGGCCCGGGAGGAGGAGGAGGGAGGGGCAGAAGGCACCTGGGTGACCGGAGGCGAGGAGCGACTAATGGGAAGAAACAGTAACAGCGCGCATTTCTGTGGCACCTACTGTATGCCAGGCGCGGCGCGAGGAGCTT